CAGTGTGAGGGAACAACAGAAAAGGGAAGAGTACAAACAAGAGAACAAGGTTGCGAATCAATAATATTGGAGAATCTGGTTTTGTTTCTGTTTGAATTACCTTGGCATGTTCGCTTACTTGAGAACTTTTCTACCCACTTGACATGCTCAATGGACTGGATTTGTTCATGTTTACCGACTAGAGCATGAAGAGTAGAATATTATTTTGTACCCAGCTTCCGAGATTTTCCCAGTCGTTCCCATACTTTTTCCGCCTCACATTGATACCCATATGTCGCTGCTGGTCGTCAGTTTGTAATTAGCCAATTGAAGAGACATTTTTGCTTCACAAATTGCGTCCTTATTGCTGGTCTCCAATCAAGGTTTGCCGACCTTGCCGATGAAACTGGTCACTCATGGTCCGTCAGTTGGTTAACCCCGGGAGTTCGGTTTTTCGCTCTCTCTATTCATTGAAAAACACTCCTGTTATGACGAGACCGAGAACTCAGGTAATTAGTGGACTTTGAGAGAAGAACTGGCATAACATCATGCCTTCAGTCTCCCCGGAGATTTAGGAGGCCATGCTGCTTGAAGCTGGATTTTCATTTTCGTTATGTGTATTTTGATTATGGGGTTAATCATGCAGTTTTGACAGTTAGATCGTTCTTTAAGTAAACTCTTTTTTAAACGTAGAAACAATAACTACTTTTCCGGAAGATGATAAATTGCACCCTTTAAAATATGATGGAACGAAATACTAATTACAATTAGGGCTCACCACAGTTTCGGTTGCGCTCCCTCAGATTTGGCGGGGCCCATTGGCATTTTCTCCTGAGTCTCAGCTGTATGCGCTAGTATAACCTTGCATGCACTAGGCTGAATAAATTATTCTCCATGGTTCTCAGTCTAGCAGTCACCTGTTAATCCTGATCGTGGATTTCTCTTTGTTCTTCTCGCAGTTTGTTTCAAGCACTATCTGCCGGTTTAAAGTCGGTGTGAATTTCTGCTGTGATACATAAAAAATATCTGTCGGTCATTTTCTTATTCTTTTATCCGTAATATTCTGTTCGATAAATACCTTAGCATTACGGCAGTGTTTCCTCACCGAAACATGAGTGACAATACATTACCCACGGATCTATTGCTCTATAGCAAAACATGCATTTCTTCGCTTTATCGAATTCATAGATTACTTTGGAATATTCCAACCTCTCTTCATACAATCGAAGATTAGGCTACCTCAACGTGGCATGTTTATGCTGTGAGAAACTTTTGCCCTATTGAAGTAGATGGTTGTCAGCCTTGTTCAACTGTACCTTGAACCTCTGTGCGATGTAGTAGCATTTTATTGCCAGTCCGGTTCACATGCTCGTGCATCACGTGAATTGATTTCCCCCCAAATCACGTGTTTTCATCAGGCAGTTCAATATTTTTCTGGCTGAATGCATTCATACTGATGGCTAATTGGGAGGATGGATTAATACCATTCATGATGTGTAATGTGACCCCACAAAGCCACATGATCGTCCACACCTCATCCTGTACTTGCCCAACATCGTCCTATCTACGTTCTGAACCATGCTCGCAAACCCAAATGCTTTCACCTTGTTTTAGATCTGGTTTCCTATCCTTTTGCTCTCACTTTCCCTCCCTCTGTTACACGTACTCGTATACCATTCCCTTGGACTTTTTGCACACCAATTAACAGGCTGATCAACTCCACCCCGGTTCGATAGATCAGATTGCAAATGTCGTGTTCTTGCTCCATACTGCAGAGCCTGGTTGGAAAGTAAGCTAAGCTGATTATTTTTGTGGTTTTACTTGCGCGTGTACTTTTCACCACTTTCAACCACCTTTTGACCTCAATAATTTCACAGTTATTCCTAAACTTAAGTCAATGGTACATTTTTATTATACACTATTGTGTCCTGAACAGCGAAAAGATGAAGCCCTAAATCACAACTATCTGCTGGGGGACAGCAACTTAATCCATGAGGCTTGAAGTGGATGCACTCCATGAAACACATGGAACATAGGACAGCGCCCCAGTTACCCCACAATTATGTCCACCTAATGGGGTTTCTTAACCGTTGTTCTGTTCCTCCCCTTGGTCATTTGACGAAGTGGTCTCTCCAAGGGCGATAGTGAACATTCCAAAGCCATTAGGTGAGCATTCAGCTGGCCTTACGTGACTGAGCTTCATCTGACCATTGATCTTTCAGGCCTGATTGCGTCTGTGCCTGTGGAAAGCCATCCCGTTTATCTTGCAGGATTATTTAAGTATGCGAGCCATCAGATGACTTATAGATGCAGTCTCGTCGTGATTGGTCTAGGGTGTGCTGCAGTAGTTCGACCGGTTCTGCTGTACGACCCGGACACTTGTTCAATACAAAAGTAAAATAAGATAGACTATCGGTTTTCGAACACCGCTATCTACACCTTATTGCACGAGTTTGGTGGGGAAACTGGATAAGCAATGTTGAGGCTAGGTGCAGAGTTTTAGGAAATAGCGGTTTCCCACTGGAGATCGATGCATTGATCATCCTCACTGCCGCTACATGTTCACCATACCGGATCCAATATTCTTACTAATGTTTGTTTTATCTCACTTGTATTCAGTTGTATCCGTTCGTTCGTTACTAGCCGTGTATAATTATTTTCAGTGTCGTGCCACTTGTGTTACACTTGGTATCGCGCATCATTGGTAATGCATGATAATTTAGTGTAAATTGTTCTAGATCTGTTTTCACTTTCCACCTTCATTTGACATCTATTGACTCGTTTTGATCATTTTTAGTAAGTATTCTTGACTGGTCGATCAATTTATTTCCCATTCTACGTC